ATGGGGAGAGTGCTGACACATTGCGGGGAATGAAATCAATGTCATGGAATGCTTTATGTACAAACTATCGAATGGAAAACTAATTTGCTCTGTAAACTTTCACCTAAAGCACAATAAAAAATTTAAAATAAAAAAAAAGTGATATGCTTTAAGTTATAAAGATCCCTGTGCTGCTGGATAGAAAATATGATCGGTACTAACATTTTATCTGTCACATCTATATATGCTGCAAATATTTTCCCCCATCTATTGTTTGTCCTTTGAATTTATGCTGTTTTTTTACTAAGCATTAAAAAAATGGTTTAATCCCACTTATATGAAATTTCTAGGAGAGGCAAATGCATAGAGACCAAAGTTTATTTATTAATGGTTACCAGGGGGCTGGGGAGAGGGGAGAATGGGGAGTTATTGCTTAAGGGGTACTCAGTTTCTGTTTGGAGTGAATAAAAACTTTTGGAAATGGATAGCAGTGACATTTGCACAACATGGTGAATGTAACTGATGTCACTGAATTATACACTTAAAAAGGGTTAAAATGGCAAATTTTGTGTTAGATATATTTTACTACAATAAATTTTTTTTAAATGGAATGTAAAAAAAATGGCAAGGTGGAAATCAAGAGTGTCAAAAGCTGCAGATCTTATGTAAAGAGATCATTGGCAAAGTGTCCGCTAGGTTTGGCAATTAGGTATCGGACAGCATTGATGAAAACAGTATCTGTGGAACCCCCTCCACCGTGAACTTTCTTAAGATTGGGCAGTGTAGTGGAGCAGAATGATGACACAATTTGGCATCATTTGGCTGCTACCATTTACCAACTGTGTGACACTGAAAAAATTTTGTAAGCTTCCCTAAACCTAATCATCCTCGAGATCGGCTCTCAGGGTCCCAGGCTCTTCTGATACCCCCTCCCTAGCCTCCATGTTCTCTCTTTGTAAAACTAGTTTTCCTTTCCTAGGGGCAGGAAGGGCTTAATCTTCAAACCCTTCCATGAAGTGAGGGGGATATATTGATGTCCCATCTTGTTGTCATAGCAAAGAATAGGAAGAAAATAAAATATGTGAAGTTTCCACATTAAAACAGTCTGAATGTTTTCCCCCTGCCATAAACGGATGCAAAACAGGTTCCTAATGGTGCGTTATTTTAACCTAACAAATTACTCTCATGTCAACTTCCAAAAAAGACAAGATGGCACTTGTTCTCCATGAAGGAAAGCTTTTCTGGCTTAATAACAGAAATGAGTCTGGGGATTTCTGAATAAGAACTTGAATACTTATTTACATAAAAACATCAATGGTAATTTTGTTGCAAAGTTTTTATTTTTTTGGGAAACCTTGAGCACCATGCTTCTAGCTAATCTGATAAATTCATCTAGTCTCATGTGCTCATGTTTAATCCCTTCTAGAATTTCTTTCTCTAAATCTAGACTTCTAAAGCCCAGACCCCAGTTCTCATCACCTCAAGCAATCTCTCACTATTTGCTCCTCCATTTTACCTTCCCTGACAAATCGCACCAGATCCATTCAGCCATCTGCCTTTCTCCATTCCTACTGCAGTGGTTAAGCTCTCGGCTACTAACTGAAAGGTCGGTGGTTCGAACCCACCAGTCGCTCCACCAGAGACAAGACGTGATGGTCTGCTCCTGTAAAGATTACAGCCTAGGAAACCCTGTGGGGCAATTCTACTCTGTCCTAAGAGGTCGCTAAGAGTCAGAATCGACTCAATGGCAATGGGAGAGGGAGACCGCTGGGCTTCAGAAAGGGGCACCACTAGGCAAAAAACAAAACAACAAGTATTTTAGGATTATTAGTAGCTTTACGAGCTAGAAAGCTCATCTACCTCCTTTTCACGTGCCCTAAGAAGGAACAAAGACGCTACAATGGCAATCTATGTGTTTCTCTTCAGATTGTTCTGATTTTTATACTTCCAAGGGCCCACGGGACACTGTCTAATCAAAGGCTTTTTCTAGTTCATAATAATACTGATAATGCTAAAGATACCTTTTAGTACTGCTACTATGAATAGACCAACTTTGACCCCGGGCTGGCTATTCTGAATCTCTGAGCTTTATCTTGTTTAGACATTCTTCCTGCATGGGAACATATTTGATTTCCTGAATCACTTCTTAAAAGACACATTCCTCTTTGGGCCCCTGGGCTATGATTTGGATCCAAAGTCACAGCCTGCACAAGGTGCAAAACGGATAAGCAGGCCAGTTGGCTGAAGGAGGCTTTCCATTCCAGAACACATTTGGTTCTTGCTTTGCCCCCCTCTTTTTCTTTTAGGGGAACATGGAGAAGGATTGTGCTCTCCCCTCCAGCTCTGAAAGGCCTCTCAGAGGAGCCAACGCAGAGCCCCTCCCATCTGCCTACGCCTGCATCTCTGACATCATTGGGAAACAGGGGTCATCCTTTCTGAGTTCCAGTCTTTATCTCCATTGTGTTAGAGCCTCAGGAGCCAGGAGACTCACCTCCTAGACCTTACCATTTGGTGAACTGCCAACCAGCCCTGAGAATGGGCTGTGAGGGTGGAGACACTGAAAAATAGAAGTACAAGTGGAGATAGGGCAGACAACCCAGAGCCAGCACCACTGTCTAGCCACGTGCCTTCTATTGGAGGTATGACAACCACTTTGGAAGAATCTAGTCAAATAAATGAGTTATTAGGATGAATGAATCTAGTGAAAGTGGGAGAGGTTGTAGAGAAGGACCTTGGTACACTTTTTGGTTTAACAACTTAGTCCACTGACAAGCATGTACTTCTCGGAGCCTTTCTTTTTCCCATTGAAAAAGTGAGGACAGAATTATTCATTTGTCTGCTAGGCTTAACAACAGGAAGTAGACTGGGTTTGTAATTCAAGTTGGCAGACTGAGCACACGTCTGTCTCCCGTCATCTCCAAAACCCCATTATTATGAAAGTAATGAATAAAAAATGTTGAAAACTGGTAACAGAGAAAGGAAATGGAGAGAGACTATGGATGGAAGTCTGTGGGCTAGTGGATAAAAGATTTCAATAATTTCAGCAAGGTGGAAAGTGTTGATGGATGAAACAGAGTGGAGGAAGGCAGTCTTTCAAGTATGTACACAAGGCCAAAAGTGGAGGGGAGCCCTTGGGCTTGACACAACCCTGGAGGGGCAACAGACTTAGAATCAGCAGGTGTGACAGAAAGCAGAAACAAGAAGTGGAGCCAAACACTGAGGGATTAATGCAGAAAAGTCCTTTACCCCAGGAGAAACACAAGGGACCTTCTCTTTACAAATTGAAGGAACTATCAGCTAGTGTAGGTGTTTGCATCCAGGAGGGAAGCCCTGTTCCTTCTGGCTCCCAGCTACAAAATAAAGTTATCCAATAAAAATACTGATAGAACTATTAAAAATTACAAGGAGTGGGGAGAGGGTAGAAGATGCATGTATAAGTGAACTAAATCCCCCAACCTCCCCCCTCTTTCTTTGGGAGAACTGTTCCATTCAAATATTCTTGTCCGGGAAAGTTGACAGCTACCGTTTAGGGATAGAAGCAGTTTTTCCAAACAGAGGTCACCTCCTGCTCCTGAATGGTTTTCTTCCCATTCTTGGGCCCCCTCAGTATACTGAATCACCACAGAGAAGTCACATCTGAGAGGACATAAAGACATCAGGTAAATAAACCCCGAGAGCTTTACCTTTCCAAGGATGAGTGTAGACACAATCAGTGTTGGTTAACAACAGAGTCCGGCACTAAATAGGTAAGAACTTAAGAACTCCATGCGGATCACATTAAAGAACTTCTGTCCAGTGTCCCTATAACCGTGGTTAGACACCTTAGGTCCATTGTTTCAATGTTTAGTTTGGAAAAGAAGTTCATAAACATGTAGAGCAAAGTGAGCACATCCAGGCTACCCTTCAGCCCTTTCTCATTCATCCTGAACTTTGAGTGTTTCTCTCCTTTTCCTTGTGTTTACCCTTTACAGTTGTCATACCCATGCCTCTGTCTCTGAAGCTTGACTTGGGCCTGGGACCCCACCCACTTGGGATCTCAGCATCTTTTCAGCCTTTCTTAGCTCTTTGGCACAGATAGTAAAAAGTTCCTTCTTTATTAGAAGAAAGACCTTCATAGTTACTCAAATTTCCTTGCTTTCTTCCTCTCCAACCTCCCTCTTCCGCATTTATTGGGATTAGAGAAAGGTGGACCTGTGAGCATTCCCTTCACTTTTAGAAGTATGAGAACCTTCCCACCCCACCCACCCACCTCGCAAGAATGTTATTCCGCTGGCATGGGATTTCTCTACTAGCTTCATTCTACAAGATGTACCTGAAATGACATGTATCATTTTAACACTCACACATGCATGCACCACAAACTTAGATATTTACATGCATTTTGAATCTTTCAAAGTATGTCCCTTGAATAAACAAACTTATTCCAATAACATTGCCATTGCTTATAACATTAGAAATAAATAAATAAATAAAACTGATTGTGGAATTCCCCTCAAAGACTTAGAACATTATATTGAATACCCTTCATGGCCTGCAAATCTTTTTATAAATTAATTTTTTCTTTAATCAATTTTATTGAGATATAGTTTACATATAATGAAACACACAGATTTTAAATGATGAATTATGACATATGTATACACCGGTGTATATACCACCACAATCAAAATATAGAATATTTCACCACCCCAGAAAATTCCTTCATATATAGATATAAATCTTAAGTTTTTCATTTGGATTGTGATTTTAGAGTTAAGCCAGGTAAGTAAGAGGGGCAGCTAAGCTAAAATCCTGTTTTGTTTCTGGTAGATTGTGTGGCTTGTATATTTATTGAATGCAATGCAAAAGGGAGAATCAGAAATGATGGAGAACAGATCATTGGAATGAATGTGCAGCTTCCCAGAATGGCGACTCTGATGGATGTATATTCTGGAGCATGGATTCAAAGTTAGAGTACTTTAAAGCCACATTTGTGAATTCAACAATTGAGCCCCAATGATAGGCCAGACACTGTTTCAGGCATGGGGGATATTGGTGTCCTAAAAACACACATCGCCTTTGCCCGTCATGAAGTCTACATTCTGGTGAGGGAGATGTTGAGAAATAAGAAATCAAATCATGATGTAATTTTAGGAAGCAATAAATGTTATGAAGAAGAAATAGAGTGAGGAATGATGATGTGCTATTTTAAAGATGTTACTATATCCCATATAACATATCTTTATTTTCTTTTGAGAAGAAACACAAGACTTAAATTCTACCATAGCTGCTTTCTAAGAGTGACAAGATAACTTTTCCTAAAGTACATTCTGCATAATGATATTATTGGTTATGTGAAAAAATGTTTCATGATTAAACAAATATGGGGAAAGGTGGGTTAAACAAAGTTAAGCAGATCTTTTCTGAAGGACTTCTCAGATCCTTTAATATGCTAATAGATATTGTAAATATTCATGAGGGAGGATTATAGTATGCAACGTTTTCCAAACATTTTTCTGCAGGGTACCCTTTTGACTTGAAGTATATAAAGCAAGTGTTCTGCGGAACATATTGTTGGAAATTCTTTTCGAGTTCTCATACCCCAAGAGAAACGAAAGCAACAAAGAGGTTAAATTAAAAACAGAGAGGCAAGAGGATGGAGTACAGGAGGCTGCAACTTATTAAATATCACTCCAATATGTGGAGTAATCACCAAAGGCCAGGCAAGGTGCCAGGTACTTTAAACACATTATCTCAAGCAATCTTCACCGAATTCTTTGAACAGGTATTATCATTTGTTGTTGTTGTTAGGTGCCATCGAGTCAATTCCGACTCATAGCGACCCTATGTACAGAACTAAATACTGCCTGGTCCTGAACCATCCTTACAATCATTGTTATGCCTGAACCTATGGTTGCAGCCCCTATGGCAGTCCATCTCTTGACGGTCTTCCTCTTTTTCACTATTATCATAGCTCCCATTTACTATTTGGGAAACTGCTGCTCAGAGAGGTCAAATAAGTAGCAGAAGTTCACGCCATTCCATACAGAGCAAGGATCTAAACCTAGGCCTATTTGACACCAAAATCATACCCCTAACCATAACACTATGTCCCCTAAATGATGGTGAAGGGTAGGCTGCTACTCAACTACCAAACCTTTTCCTACTCCCACCAATCCTGTGTCCTCCTCAAGGGCTGGATTTCTATTCCTCTTGCATTGTATCAAGTGTTCTTTGCTCATCTCGTGCTGGGTATGTAGTGGGTACTGGGTAAGTCTGAGCAGCCTGGTACAATGATACCATCCCCATAAGCCCAGTATGTGGAGCCAGATGGCTGTGCCCCTGAGTGGCCCTGGCCAGAAAGCTCTGCCAGAACCATCCATTCACTTCTTTCTCTTTTCCTGGCATTTTCTCCCTGCCCTTCCATCCCCTCCAGCCACGTATCTGATTCCTCCCCATCTTCCATATCCATTGGAACCTGGGGGCCCAGATACATACTAGTATCTCTGCCAAGTTACCCATCAGGCTCCCAAAGCTGACAAGGATGCAGTATCCAACAGCTGGTGGTGAGGTTGGCTTTGCGAGGGGCAGGGGATGTGGGAAGGTGCCAGCAGACTCTAGGTAGAGTCATCCACCTACTGTCTGGAGGAGAAAATGGGAGATTTTTGTAGTTACTGGAAAGAGCAAAGGATATCTTTCAGGAAAAGATCTGAGTCAGATTTTCTCTCCCACTGTCCCCACCCTCTTCTCATGAGACAGCTACGGAAGTTGATAGCAATTAGTCATTCCTGTTAATTCATTACTGATTTGGATAGACGGAGACTGGTCTTTTCTGAACTTAGTGCTCAGAAACACATTGTCTTCCCTCTCATATACATTCCTCCCGCTGAACACCCTGTCTCTGTACACAGTCTTGCCTCCTTCCTGGTCCTCTGGCTGGAAACCCTGTAGCTTTTCTTTTTCTACCTGTAGTTAGTGACAGCCCTGTCAACCCAACCTCTGCAGGAGCCCCTCAATCAGGTCCCTCATGCATTCCCACTGACCCAACCTCAGGTCAAGCCCTGATTGTCTCTCCCCAAGGCTATTATGTCAGCTTCTCACTTCTCTGTAAATGCTGCCCTTGCCACCAACCCTGTGCCAAGCAATCAAGTTACCTCCGGCAGGAGCAGGCAACAGAGTGCTGGGATATTTAGAAGCGACCTTGAACTGGATACAGAACTGTGCTCCATGCTGGGCAAGGGGGGTCATGAAGGGCAAGTGGGAGTTATCCAGACAAAGAAAGGAAAGACCATTCTGTGAAGATTGTGAGCAAAGGCACAGACACGGTGTGTGCTTTGGAGAACTTTAAGTAGTATGACCTAGATGACGTTTAAAGGTCATGTGTGTAGCATCAGGTGTTACAGCTGTCTAATGCTGCAAAACAAAAGCAACACAAAACTTAGTGCTTAAAATAATAACAACATTTAGTTTACTCTCAAGTCTTCAATCTGTACAGGGCTTGGTGGGGATAGCCCATTTCCATTCCACTTGTCATAATCTGGGGCTGCAATGATCTGAAGGTTCACTCACTGACATGGCTGAAGGTTGATGCTGGTTGTAAGCTGAAACTTTAGTTGGGGTAGTTGGAAAGCCGACGTGTGGCCTTACCATGAGTAAGGAAGACTGAACTTTTTTACAACATGATGTCTGGTTCCAAAGGCAAACATCCCAGAAGAGAAAGAGCCAGGTAGATTCTGTGTTGGCTTTTAGAATCTAGCCTCAGAAATCACACAGCACCACCTCTACTTCATTCTTTTCATTAGAAGAGAGTCACTAAGATTGGCCCATATCCAAGGGGAGGGAACACGGACCCCATCTCTTGATGCACGAACGTCAGTGTCACATTGTAAGAGGAGTATGTGGGATAAGAGATACTGGTGCAGCTATCTTTGCAAAATATGGTCAGCTACAGCAGGATATGGAGCCAAATAGGCAGGCAAGGCTTAGGACCTGTAGTGTCTTGGATACCAGGCCAAGGGCATGATTTTTTATCTTATAAGAAGTAGGGAGCCAGTGAAAGGTGTTAATTTGGGTGTGACATGCTCATGCTTGCATTTGAGAACGCTCTCTCTGGGGTGATGTAGTAGATTTGAAGAGGGTAAACAGGAGACAGTGAGAGGCTGTTGGAATAATCCAGAGGAGAGATGGTGAGGGCCAGAGCCAAGGTACACACCTGCAGGTGAAGGGCAGAGGCCAAGTACTAGAGACACAAGAAGAAATCAAAGGGCTCAACGGTGGAGTGAATGCCAGGAGGTGGGGAGTGAGGAACAGGAGCATCTAGAAGGTTTCCTGGCTTCTATTTTGGGAGACTGAGTGAAGGTGATGGGGGATGAAGGAAAAAGAGGAGCAGTTTGAGGGGGAAAAGACAATGAGTTTTATTTGGGGAGTGACTAGTCTGAGGGGTCTGAGAGTGTCCAGGTGGACGCATCCAGCAGACAGTGGGATGGACCTGAGTGTAAAGCTTTAGGGAAAGTTCTAGGTGAGGAACTGAGATTTGGATGGCATCATCCTATGGGAAAATGAGATTTCCCATGAAAGTGTGCAGAAAGGGTGCTGTGTGTAGAAAAAGAGACTACAGATAGAGTTATGGGGGCATTTGCTATTAGGGGATGAGCAGAACGTCTGGCAAGGCATCCAAGATCAAACAGACTATTTTTGGGATCTGGCCCAGACCAGGGAATCTGGGTTTGAGTGTGATTTGATGCCCTGTGTCCATGGAAGAATATTGCACCTTGATGAATTCCATTACCATCTTGTGCTACTTTCCCATTAGCCTAGTTCCATGCCTCTTGTGTTCCCTTATACCTTATGGTGGAAATGCCTACATATCAGGGAAGATCACTGTTTGTTTTACTAATGATCATGAAGATGGCACAGGATCAGGTAATGTTTCATTCTGTTATACATAAGGTCACCATGGGTAGTAGCCAAAACTATGGCAACTAACAACAACGATGTTTGTTTTGTTTTTGTCTTTTTTCCTAATCCTTCACACCTATTGTTAGAGCTAAGAAGTTTCCTTTCTGCCAGTGATTTTAAGCCACAGTTGTCCATGAAATTCTGCTGGAGGAACTTTTCCAAAATATACATTTTGGACTTCACCCCCACTGATTTTGGTTCAGCAGGTCTGGATTTGGGCTGCCTCTATATTTTGAAGACACTCCCCCACCCTAGCCCTGGCCAGGTGATTCTGAATCAAAGCTGAGTTAAGAACCACCGATTTAGCCCCAGGACCTCACAGTTGGGGAAACCATGGTCCTGAGAGGGTGAAGACATGCTAAGGCTGCACAGTTGTGGGAGAGGCAGGCTCAGAATATGTCAAGCAACTGGCACCTAAGCACAGAAATGCCTACTACATGCAGGACACTATGCTAGGCACTCTGATCCCCCTTCTCTATACCTCAATTTCCCTATTTGTGAAAAGAGACTGGAACTAGATCATTTTCCAAAATAGTTTTATCTGTAGAACCCTTAGGTTCAAACAAAATATTAGGATGAATTCCATATATAAAACCAAGCAAAGCGGAGCGTCTCTAGGCAGGCAAGGGTGGAGTTCTACCTCTGCCTACAAGCGGCAGACTCCCTTCCATCACTGGTTCAGGAGTCGTTGGCAATGTGGGATGGGGGGGGTGGTGGCGGCAGGCAGCAGTTTGGAGAGGGGTCTGGTTTCATGGTTTCACGGTTTCATTTAGCTCAGATTCAGAGACTTCCAAGCATGAATGCGTGCACAGCAGTGAAGGCTCGTCCCTGTCAGAAGCTTCAAGCTGGCCTCGAAAATGTTCCGCCCTATCAGGTAGAGGAGGAAACGTCAGGTCTGGCCCCTGTGGAGGGGGCAGGCTCAACTTTGGGAGGAAAAGGAAATGAAGGTGGAGCCCCAGTTGCTCTCCTGAGATGCCAGCACTTCAGTTAAGGGAAGAGCTTTGGCAGACTATGAAACGGAACAGAACGGCACCCCACCCTTCCCTGGAGGAAAAGTGTGGTCTCCAGAAGGGTCACCTTCCAGGGGATGTCTGGGAAGGCTCAGGTCCTGAGCCTGCCTTCTCTGGATCATCAAACCCTTCCCCTTCCCTCCCTGCTGTGTATCTGTCTCCAGATACACATAACTGTGGACTCACATTTCCATGTACCCACAGGGCTAAGTGTGCAGGGGGTAGGTTACAAAGACAAAGGGCCTCAGCCACTTCCCTGAGGCCATTATCCATCCAGGGGTGGAGCAAGCACAACTGCAGATGCCTCTGACTAAAAAAAAAACACAAACCCAAACCTGTTGTCAAGCGACCCTGTAGGACAGAGTAGAACTGCCCTATAGGGTTTCCAAGGAGCAGCTGGCAGATTCCAACTGTCAACCTTTTGGTTAGCAGCTGAGCTAGCCAAGAGATCGCTGATAAGAGGTCATAACAAGTGAGGAAGTGAGAGGAGAAGCATTCATTCTAACCAGGTGGTTTGGGTTCAGCATCATGGGGCTTCGTTGAGGGCAATAGAAGTGGGCCTTGGAGGACGGGTATTAATGGGGGAGAGGGGAATGAGAAGGAGACAGGGGAGCAGTGTGACCTAGGGCTTCTCTTCAGGCCTGGGAGCGGTCTGGATTGGATGAAGAGTGGTGTTAAGCCCTCACAGGCACAGGAGGGAGGATAGGCCCTACGGGCCAACCAGCAGCTCACTGGAGAAAAAAATCCAACGTGGTGAATGCGTGGCTGATAAGTCTAGTCTTTCTCTTGGCCGTGATTCTCCAATCCTTGTCTTGGTTTTGTTGTTGGGTGCCACTGAGTTGATTTCAATTCATAGTGACCCCATGTAACAGAATAGAACTGCCCCACTGGGTTTTCTTGACTGTAATCTTTATGGAGCAGATCACCAGGTCTTTATCCTGCAGAGCCACTTAACCTTTCGGTTAGCAGCCGAGCGCTTAACCTTTGCACCACTGGTCTCCTCCTCTTGTTTTTACTGAGCCATTTATGACAGTGGTAAGAATGGGCAGTAATGATGGTAACAGCTAACACTTACTGAATGCTTCTTGAGGGCTGAAATACCTTACAGCAATGGTCTCATTTCACCCTCAGGCCACCCTGTGAAGTAGGTGTTACCCATGTAACAGGTAAGGAAGCAGAGGCCAGGGGGACTGAGTTTCACAGCAAGGACAAGGAAGCGGAGGAGGATCTGCACGAGGCTGCTGGGCCTCCTGTAGCAGGGGGCTTGGAGTGGAGGGCCGGGAGGGTGGCCGGTGCTGGCTGTCCAGAGGCCTGACAGGGTTCTTCTTCTGTGTCCCCAGGTGTTCGTGCTCTGCCATGGCCTCCTGCAGCTCTGCCAGCTCCTGTACAGTGCCTACTTCAAGAGCAGCCTCACCACCATCGAGAAGCGCTTCGGCCTTTCCAGTTCTTCCTCGGGTCTCATTTCCAGCCTGAATGAGGTAAGCAGGAGGTACTGGACCCCCGTATGGCCTTTCCTGGTCACAGGATCTGAGAGATGGCTCTATGTGTGGAGCAGGGGAATGGGGCCTGGGATGTGCAAATGGGGTGTAGACCTCTCTCTGCCTGGGGACCCAGGGAATGGAGACAGTCTGACCCCACAGGCACGTTTCCTGAGGCCTTACCATGTGCCAGGCACTGTGCTGAGAGCGTCCCACACCTGTCCTCAGGGCCTCAGCAGCCCTTCCAACAGTACTCTGCTCATCCCCACTTGACAGATGAGAATAATGAGGTTCAGCAAGTGCAGCTGGGTTGCCCAAGGTGTGCAAGTCTGTCTGCCTCCAAACTTTGTGCCTTTAATTGAGTTCTGTGGAGATCTACACATTTGTATGGCCTCAGCCCCATCCCCATGCGGGCAGAGATGAGCCCCAGGCGCTCAGGTGGAATAGCAGCCCCAAGCCCAGGCAGCTCCAGTCTTGCAAGGATCACATGAGCCAGAGTTGCTCAGCACCCTTGACTCACCTAAGAAGTCAGATCTCTGTGGCCTTCCAGCAACACGGATGAGGCCATTTCACACTGTCCACTAGCAACTCCATATCAAAGTTACAGGGGGGTAGGGTAGGCCGAGAGACGGGGTGGGAGGTCAGAGGGCAGAGTCTGCTGGGAGTCACTGGACGCTGGGGAGAGAGAGAGAAGGGACGCAGCCCACCTGCCATCATGGCTGCAGCATCAGTGACTCCATGGTGTGGAGATGGGGCACCAGACCTGGCTTCTCTCTTCTCTTTCCCAAGGCCCACTGTTCCTGGATGGAGGCAGTGGTCTCACCCTCCCAGGAGCTGAGCTGTGCCTCTGGAACATGATTAGACTGTCCCTTGACTTAGTGAGATCAGGTAGATGCAGTAATTTAGAGACACGAGGCTCCCCCAGAGCAGCTCTGGCTATGATGGAGCTGTACAAGAAAATGGGATGTCTCCTAACACCCCCTCCATCACCTTTCAGTCTCCCCTTCCCCCAGCCTGTTCCCATCTGGACATGTGGCTTTGCTGTTCGCTCCTCCTCCACCTTTGGTGGTCCACACAGGAGCCCCTTGCCTGTGTCAGGTCCACTCTGCAGTCCTAAGAGGAAAGGTCTCTTCATAGTCATGTTTCCAGGGGAGAAAACCTGGGTCAGAAAGTCTAATAACCCATCCCAGGTCAGCACCCACATGTTGTGAGCATAGTGCCACCGGGATCTGAACCCAGGTCCGTCTGATGGCTGCCATATGAAGGCCACCCTCTGTGAATCCCCACCCTACCTCTTCTACCACAGCTCCCCCAATCCCTGATCCACAGCTCTGCTCTATCCAAAGAAGTCATGTTCCCTAACATATCACTGGAACCTCTATGGGTGCTCTCTCTGCACAGCACTCCCCCGACATAGGCTGTCTCTCCACACCTGTGACATACAGGTACCTGTACACCCACAATCCTGTGTCCAGTCTGAGTTGTCCCTGCTGGCCTGACTGGCCTCAGACCCCCTCCTCTGAACTCCCAGGCCCACGTGTGTGCCTACACTGCTTTCTATATGTATGTGTCTCTGTGTCTGTGTGTGTGTGTGTGTGTGTGTGTGTGTATGTGTGTGTGTGCATGCATGTGTCTCTATCTAATGTGTGTCTATGTCCTTGACTGGGTGTACCTGACCATGTAGGTTGTTTTCTCCTCCAGGAAAGGAGCCTGGCACCCCTCACACAGAATGCTCCCTCCCAAATGTGGGCCTGTGTCATACCTACCTAGTGCTGTTGTAACACAAGTACCACATGTGAGTGGCTTTAAAGAACAGAAATTTGTTTTCTTACCATTCTGGAAGCTAAAAGTCCAAATCAATGTCTTGGCCATGTAGATTCCTTTCTTGTTGGGTGCCCTGGGCATTCCTTGGTTCCTTGACTTGTAATCCTCACATGGCATCTGTCTTCCCCTGTGTGTGTGTGTCTCTCTGTGTCTTTTCTGGTCTTTTTATAACTCAGAAGTGATCAGGTTTAGGACCCACCCTACTCGGGCATGACATAATTAACATAACAAAGAAAGCTCTATTTCCAAGCAGAGTCACAACCATAGGTATAGGGGCTAAGATTTCAATACATATTTGTGGGGGAGGGCACTATTCAATTCATAACAGCCTTTGATAATGACCATGGCACATGTTGTCCTCACTTCTGGCAGACATCAGGGAAAACAAATCTCTGACATTTGTGTCACCACGCTCCTATCCCATGGCCCTGGCAAGCATCATTAATCTACCATAGTCTTCGTTCCTGCTGAGTCCAGATACAGACTCTGTCTGAATCCTTCTCAACACAGTATTCTAGGCATCTCTACTGATTAAAGTCAGAACTGGCATATTGTTCTTATGCCTGGAACAAAAATGTAATCCCAGGAACAACTGGTTTCTTCAGGGGGCAGGGAGTGGCCAGCTGGTACATGTGGAGCCAGTTAAGATGGAAGGTTGATTAGGCAAATAAAGGGAATAATATTTGAAACAGGGCTATGGTTCAACCAAAAAAGAAAATAATTCATACATTAAATAATCTTCTCTTTCCCAAACTCAGATGAGCTTTACAACAGCCTGGTTTCTGATTATGCTTATGGTCATGATTTGAGGCAAATAACATAAGAAAGTTCATTCCTGTCACCTAACAAGCCTGTGTGTTTGTGTCTCTGTGTGTGACTAGGTATGTGTATGCCTGCGTCTATGTGTGTATTTGTGTCTGTGTGTGTCTGTATCTGTGTGTCTGTATGTATTTGTATCTGAGTGTGTATTTGTGTCAATGTATGTGGAGAAGGTGGATGAGTGAGTGTGTGGAGAAGGTAGGACAGGAAGTCAGCCAAGGGACTTTCTGCACTCCTGTTGATTCTGACCCAGGCATTTAGAAACAGACCAAGTAGTAAAGCAGGGACCTTATGGGGCAAGCAGAAGGTTGATGTGAAAGTCCCTGCTTTTGTGGCAGGCATGGCTTCTTGAGCAGAGCCAGGGAGGGATGGAAAGTCTCATTATGGAAGAGGTGACCAAGAAACTCTAGAGGTGGGAGACAGGCATCCACAAGTTGGCAGCTGCACTTGACTGGAGGGGTTGAAGGAGTGAGGGATCCCACAGATACTGAAAAGAAAAAAGGCAGAATTTGGCAGCTGCTTGAGTGCAGGATGGAAGGCATCACAGACCATAAAGAGGTTGCTTACCAGAAGTCTGGGTGAGCAGCCCTCCAGGGGGCACCAGCCTTCAGGTGCAGCTCACAGTCTCAAAGTCTTATGGGGGCCAACAGGTGGAGTGAAGGGTCTGATGTAGGCTGGGTATGAAAGACTAGCGGCAGGAGAAGTTCAGCTGACAGAAGACATTGGGCGTCTTGGTCCTGTGCAAGCAGCGCCCTCTCTTGTCCACCACTAAAGGCCAGGGCTGAGTAGCCTAAGTCAATGGGAGCCCTAGAGGCCCTCCAACCTTAATGCATTCCCACCAGTTTGACTGGAGCCCCTTTGGTTTGAGATATTAAAGAGCAGTGATGTGTTACAAATGGGCTTTGTAACAACTTTCAAATTGTCCAACAGGAAATCCACAGAGCTGCTTTAGGGGCCACTCCATTGGAAAGAGCCCTGGTGGCACAGTGGTTAGGCACTCAGCTGCTAACCAAAAGGTCAGCAGTTCAAACCCAGCAGCCACTCCACAGGAGAGAGGTGTGGCAGTCTGCTCCCTTAAAGATTTACAGCCTTGGAAACCCTAAGGGGCAGCTCTACTCTGTCCTGTAGGGTCGCTATGAGTTGGAATCGACTTGACAGCAATGGGTTTGGGTTTTTTGTTGTTGTTGTTTGTTTGTTTGTTTGTTTCCAGGGTCTCAGGGGTGGGAACAAGGCTAAGGCTTGGGCTTCAGAGGCCCTCCTCTCTTCAGCTATGACAGCCTCATTTTTTGGTTGTTTGTTTTACATTGGGAGGAAGGTTTGGAAACCAAGGTCTTAAGCAAATTTCATCTGTGACAACTGCGGAGGTCCAGCTTCCCTCTGAATACAAGCTCAGGCCTCAGTAGAGTGTTGGAATGGCCCTCTGGTTGGGTGCGGCCGGAGCATCCCAGTGCCTCCTCTCTGAGTCCTCTTCAGGTCCCTCCACCATCCCTCACTCAGACATTTTTAAGTCAGCCTCAGCATAGCAGATATGGTCTGGCATTTACAATCATTTCATGAAAAGTTATGGGGAAACAAGAAGGAAATGAACAAAATCTAAGAAGCATAAGAATAAAGCTTTCTTTCCAGGTACAGGTTTCTGAACGTTCTAGAACCATCTGGAGTTTGGGCTAGGCTTCCTCCTCACACGCCTGCTCCTCCCCTTTCTCTATGTAAATCAGAAGCCATCTTACTTGTGGCCATGAAAGAGGGGTCTCCTGGACAACTGTGTCCGCTTCTTGAAAAAGTTTGCCTTTTACTCATTCATTCATTTGCCCAACCAATATTTAATAAGCACTTACTATGTGTCAGGCACTGTTTTAGGAGCTAGAGAGACAGGAATGAACAAACAAACAGAAAAAAATTTCTGCTCATATGGAGCTTATATTCTAATGACTGATATGACATTCATTTGTAGATCAGATGATGATAAGTGATATGAAGAAAAATAAAGTTGTGATGGAAAAAAACTGCACAGGGCCAAACTGGGGGGAGGGTGGTTGAATTTTAAATAAGGAGATCAGAGAAGGTCTTAATAAGGTTAAATCTGAGCATCTATCTGAAGCTGGTTAGAAAAGAAGGGAGCCCTGCAGACATGTAAGGGAAGAGCAGTCCAGGCAGGAGCAGCATGCACAAAGGCCCTGAGGAGAGAATTCACCTGTTCCTTCAAAGATGTATTGTTCAAGGAGCAGCAGAAGGCAGAGTGGCTGGAGTGGAGGGAGAAGAGGAAGAGAGGTAAGAGAGGTAACAGGGAAGGGGAGAAACGTGTAGGGCTCTGGAGGCTCTGGGAAGGACTTTGCCTTTTACCATTGGAGGGTTGAGCAGAGGGGACATCATCTGACATTTCAACAGGATCACTTCAGCTGCTGAATGGAGAATAGACTGCATCGGGGCAAGGGTGGAAGCAAGGAGAACAGTTAGGAAGCTTCCTGCATTAATTCGGACATGATATGCTGGTGCCTTGGACCAGGGTGGTACTGGTGGAGATGGTAAGAAGTGGTCAGCTTCTGGGTTGGTATTGAAGGTCAAACAAATGAGATTTGCTTATGAATTGGACATAGGTGTGAGAGAATAGTCAAGGATGATGCTCAAATGTTTTGCTTGAGCCACTGGGAGGATGGAGTGCTGTTTACTGAGGTGAGGAGATAAGGAGAGGCCAGGATCTGGGGGCCATGAGAAGTGAGATTTTGAATGTGATAAGTCTGTGGGAATTAGAAGCACATATAGAGCATGTAAATCCAAGAGTCTGGATTAGACCATCCAGACAAGAGCAGAGGTGCAAGGACTAAGCTCTAGGCCCAGTGTTGAGTGATCTGGGAGATGAGGAAGAACCAGCCAAGGAGACTGAGAAAGGGCAGGCCGGGAGACAGGAGGAAAACTAGGAGAGGCAATGTCATGGAAACTCAGTGAAACAAGTGTTTCAGGAAGAAAGAAGCGATCAACTGAGTCAAACGGTGATGAGAGATCAAGTAAGAAGAGAACTGAGAATGGACCTGTAATTTAGCAATAAGTAGGTCATTGGAGACTTTGGCAAGAGCTGTCTACCAAGACTCTAGCCTCTATTTCATGAGACAGAGGCACCTGCTTCTCCAGCTGGAAGGAGACTGTGGTGTGGGCAGGGCAGAGGCTATGGCTGCTAACATTCAAAGAAAGGCCCTGTAGTCCAGATGACCGTGTGTCCTGGAGCAGAGTATCATCTCTTTGAATGGTGACATGTCAGAGGCCTGCCTACACCCCCTTTCCAGTTTAAGACCTTGCTCCTCAAGCTGAGCCTTCTGTTTCTTCCCTGGCTCTGAGTGGTGTTAGGAGAGCACATCCTTCTAGGGAATAAGAGGAACCTAAGGACATGGGCTTACTTCGTCCTCATCCCTCAGTTTACAGAAGTGGAAACAGGCCCAGCAAGGGACAGGGGCAGCTTAGCAGCAGAACTGGGGCAGAGACCCACTTCTCTAAGAGACCACTCTATTTAAGACTAAAGGCTTAAAGTCAGGCCATTCTGTGCTTAAGTCTTGGACTGACCACCTCCTAACCTCATGGACATGGGCAAACTATTTACTATTCTGAGCCCCAAGTTTATCACCTGTAAATTGAGGGATACTGTATGATTAAATGAGATAGTGCACGCTGCTTGGTTGTTATTGACTACCAAGCAAGAGTCCTTAAGGAGTTTAATTAGGGAACATGTACTATTCCTAGGAGCCAGCCAGGATTGGAGGCTTCTTGGATTTTGCCTCAAACAGTTTGGTCCTAAAATGGTTAAGTTTAGGCTATGAGACTTTCCGTGGTCTCCAGGTAGTTCCCCTGGCCTGGTCTCAGTAGGCTGAGGCAGGGAAGGGCTTCTGACACCAGAGAGCAATCTGAATTTACGTGTTGGAGGGCCTCTGGGCAGGTCTAACACCACAGCTCTGCCTGCATCCCAGCTGAGACCAGGCACCCTCTTGCCTCTCTGGTTTTCCTAGACTGGGTGTAGTCAGGTCTGCTCTGTGGGTGGGTGAAGATGGGGTTTCTAGTCTCACTCAGCTCCTCTGCTCTCTCCTCAGATCAGCAACGCCATCCTCATCATCTTTGTCAGCTACTTTGGCAGCCGGGTGCACCGCCCGCGGCTGATTGGCATCGGGGGCCTCCTCCTGGCTGCAGGCGCCTTCTTCCTCACCCTCCCACACTTCCTCTCGGAACCTTACCAGTACACCTTGGCCAGCGTCGGTGAGTGGCCTCCCGCCCCTGCTTCAAGGGCATAAGAAATGAGCAGACATCTCACAAAGTTAGTGGGTTGCTCCTGGGGCAATTGCATTCCACTCTGGGCCATGGTGTCCTCTCCCACCAGCAAGTCCCCTTGGCTTGTATTGTTTGCTTTCTCCACCAAGCTCATCTGAAGCTCAGAACATACTGAAGTATGTAGAGACGTGGGGCAGCTATCTGAGCTCTGGCTTGTTAAGGAAGGACTGTGACTTCCCTCCCACTCTCATTCCCTGTGCTTTACCCCCCGGAATGATCCAAGCTCCCCCTGCCTGGGGACACTTGTGAGCAGCGCCCACAATGGGGCTCAGAGGGAGGAAGGTCAAAGCGATGAACATGATGAGATCTGCGGATGCTTAATCATAACAGTTGCCAGCATTTGCTCATTTGTCCATCATTCTTCAGGTTACAATGCTCTTTTATCCGATGCCCTCATTTGATTTCCCTGGACACGGTGAAGGAGAAAGAAAAGGAACAAGACAAGGACATAGCGCTCAAAGACATCCAATAACTTTCCTAAGGACGCCCAGTCCGTTAGGAAGAGAGACTCAGGTCCCCCGATTCTTAGGCTTCTGTGACACTGTACTTCAGGTTCTTAGTGCTGTGTCCTGTGGCAGGGTGAAATGTGTGAGGATTTTATGAGATTTGTAAACATGGTATTAAATTCCCTTTTCTTTAAAAATTGTTTTTTTAATCAGAAAAATTCAAACTACAGCTAAGTCAAGAAAATAATGTAACTGACACCTATGTACTGACCATCAAGATTTAGCAATTTTCCTTTAGAGACCACTTTTCAAAAAGTGAAATGAAACATTACCTCCCTCTCCATGCCTCACATCTTCCCCAGAGGGAGCCACTGCCCTGTAGTGGGTGTGCTTTTAAGCCTGTTGCTTATCTGTGTACTTTTCTCCTTCTAGTGTCCTATTTCTTTAGTCCATGTTTTTCTTCTTCTTACTGTTGGAATTATGCATTGTTAGTTATCCTTAAATTTAAAAATCCTTTTTTAAAAATTATTATAGAGTAGAATTGACTTTTTATTAGAGGTGGTGCACAATAGTTTAAACACATGTACAGATTTTTGTAACCACCACCACAGTGGGGATAGAGAATAGTTCCATCAACCCAAAAATCCCTCTCATGCTATTTCTTTACGGTCATACCTTCTCCATACCCTGGCAACCACTGTTCTGTTTTCCATCACTATGGTTTTGTGTTTTCGAGCATACCATATAAATGGAATCATACAGTATATAATCTTTTGAGACTGCCTTCTTTCACTCAGCATATGCATTTGGAGTTTATCCAAGTTGTTGCTTGTATCAGTTGTTTATTCCTTTTTATTGCTGAGTAGCATTCCACTTTATGGATACTCCACTGTTGGTTTATCCATTGACCTGTTAAAGGGCATTTGTGTTGTTTCCAGTTTGTAGCTATTATGAATAGAACTGATATAAATATTTGTGTATAGGTTTTTGTGTGAATATGTTTTTATTTCCCTAGGTTAAATACCCAGGAGAGGAATTGCCGGGCCATATTATATGTATATGTTTAAATTTTTAAGAAACTGCCTAACTATTTTCTAGAGTGGCTGTACCAGTTTGCACTTTCATCAGCAAGGTATGAGAGTTGCAGTTGCTCTGTATTCTCACCATAACTTAGTACTGACGTTATTGTTTATTTTAGCCATTCTGATAGGTATGTAGTAATATCTCACTGTGGCCTTAATTTGCATTTCCCACTAATAGTTAATGATGTTTAACATCTTTTCATGTGCTCACTCGCCATCTATATAGCCTCTTTGATGAAGTGTCTGTTCAAATCTTCTGCCCATTTCTTAATCGGGTTGTTTGTTTTCTTACTATTGAATTTTGAGAGTTTTTTATAATTCTGAATGCAAGTTCTTTATTAGATGTGAAATCTGCAAATATTTTCTTCTAGTCTTTAGCTTATCTTATATTCCTTTGACAGTATCTTTGCAGAGAAAAAAGCTTTTCATCTTGATGAAGTCCACTGTATCAATTTATTGTTTTATGAATCATGCTTTATGGTACCACATCCAAGCAATTTTTCCCTAATCCCAGATCACATTTTCTTCTATCTGTTTTTCTAAAGGTTTTATAGTTTTGCAATTATTTTTAGATCTATGATCCATTTTCAGTTAATTTATTATAAGGTGTGAGGTACATGTTGAGGTTTTTTTTTTTGCATATGGATGTTCAATTGTGCCAGCACCATTTGTTGAAAAGACTGTCTTTTCTCTATTGAATTGTTTTTGCACCATTGTCAAAATTCATTTGGTCATATTAGTGTGGGTCTATTTCTGGACTTTCTGTTCTGTTCCATTGATCTATGTCTATCCCTTTGCCAATATCACACTGTCTTAATTCCTGCAGCTTTCTAGTAAGTCTTAAAATGAGGTAGTGTGATTCCTCCAACTTTATTCTTGTTCAGAATTGTTTGATCTATTCTAATTCATTTACCTTTCCATATAAATTTTAGAATCAGCTTGCCTATAGCTACAGAAAAAAAATTCTGCTGGAATTTTGATTGGAAATATATTAAATCCATAGATCAGTTTGGGGAAAATTGACATGCTTACTATATTGAGTCTGTTAATCCATGAACATGGTATGCCTCTCCATTACCCTTATATTTTAACATGACCTATGATTTTACAAAGAGAATGAAACAAGAATCCTAGAATTTTTTAATATTCACCACCCTCTCCCATCTTCCACATTATTATTGACCAGTATTTTAGTTCCACCTGTCTTTACCCTCCCTCAAGTGGCCATTATTATCACAGTTGTTTATAAATAAGTCAGCATTTATGTATGTTTATGTACAAGTTCAGTAATGGTTTCTTTGCTCACCATTTTTTTCCTGGATTTCACCCACCCTTGTTAATTCAATTTCCTTTTTCCTGAAATACATCCTTCAGTGTTACTTTCAGGTGAGCCCATGAAAGAGAAAATTTTAAAGTCATTGTCTGAATTTTACCCTTGCTCTTGAATTATAGATTAGCTATACACAGGATTTTAAGTTGACGGTTATTTCCTCTCAGCACTTTGAAGGTATCATGCCTCTGTCTTCTGGCATCTCTTGATGGTGTTGATACATCTCTGTCAGTCTAGTTGCCAGCACATTATAGGTATTCTGTTTTTTCTCTATAGTTGTGTTTAAAATTTTCTCTTTTCTTTGTTTTATGCATGTCCACCATAAGGTATCTGAATTTGGGTTAATTTTTGCTTACCCTGTTTGGAAGTTTAATGTGCTATTTCTTTTAAAGATTAAGGTTCTTCTTTAATTCTGAAAAAATTGTCAGCCAAAATTGCTCCTAATGTTACCGCACCACTATTCTCTCTATCCTTTCCTTCTAGAACTCCTTTTAGATACATGTTGGACATTTTCATTCTAGTCTCCTTGTCTCATAAACTCTCTTTTGTTATTTCTAGTGCCTATTCATCTGTGCTTCATCTCAGGATTTTCTTAGTATGTTTTTCTGTTCACTTAAGTCTCTCTCCAGCTCTGTTAATCTGATGTCCAGCCGTCCTTTACATTGTAAATTTTAGTGGCTTTGTATAATTTTGCTAATTTCTAAAAGTTTTTGTGGTAGTTTTTCAAGTCTGCCTGCCCTGTTTTCATGATTTCTTATCATTTTCTATGGTTTCTATCTCTTCTTTGATTTATTAAACTATTTTAAATATATTTAAGTCTCAGACTATTCTATTAGAATCTTGTATTAGAATCTGGATTAGTAGATCTTTTTCTTTGTGTGTTCTATAAGTGTGAACATAAGATCATTTTCAGTGAGATTTTTTTCTCCTACAAGAATTTTGTGTGGTCTTGGTTGTGGAAATAGCCCAACAGAGTGGTTTTGCATTTGTACTTTTTTAAGGGATACAGGAAGTGGCCAGTTGGTATTGTGAGGAATAGCAGTCCATAAATGCTGATCTTCAGTCCACTGTATTAGAGTTGAAGATGTCTGAGGATAAATGAGCTACACAGGGATGTGCTGAGGGAATAATAGATTCTGGTTTACTTAAATATGAAGCCCTTTTTTTTTTAGTCAGATGTGCAAACCAGGTTCAAGAGATGAATCCTTTAGAATGATTGAAGGGATTTCTTTATAGGTGGTAAGACCTATGGGGCTGGGGGTGAATAGGTGGCTGGAATGGAAAAAGAATAGGGCAACATCTAAGATGAAATGTCTGCTGGGTTCTGGCCATGGGAGTCTTTCTTCCACCTCTCCATAAATCACCAGTGAACTAGTCATTTCTCATAAATACACTGTGGCCTTGGATCTACTGTGGGCTGTTTAAGAGCTTAGTCCTGCTTGGAGGGGGCATAGGATGAGAGAAACCTTAGCCCAGGGGTCTCACTATGCTCTTTCTCCCCTTCAGTCTAGACAAGGGGTTTGAGGCCAGCTCTAAAGGAAGGTCAGAAGTTGCTGGCCACCCTCTCAGGCAGCTGTGTGGTCAGGTCCACTGTACTGTCCTCTCTCCAGAACCGTAGTCCCTGCCTTCCCCATTAGTGTGAAGACTGGGCTAATGAAATCAGCAAGGGATCCTGGAGCACAGGATCCAGGCAGAGGGGAGGGCATCCTGCCAGGCACCACGCACTGCAGCTTGCTCAGCTTGGCAGGTTGGCCTCCCGAGGCCTGGGCCCACATTCCAGTGTCATTTGCTTGGCACAGAGCAACAACTGGAGAATGGCTAGGACGGGCCTCTGAAAGCAATCACTCTGCTTCTTGTTAGGGAACCATCTGTCAGCTTGATTTCAGCTCACCATGATCCTCCACAGCTCAGAGGGAAACACTCTAGCATTCAGACATGACTTCAGTTCTCTTCACCAACCTCTGCTGTTGTTGTTGTTAGGTGCTGTTTAGTCCGTTCTGACTCATAGAAACCCCATGTACAAAAGAACGAAACACTGCTGGGTCCTGCGTCATCCTCACGATCGTTGTT